TGGTCTTCATATCTTCAACGTTATCTTTGTTATTAAAACCGACTCCATTATTGCAACTTGGTCGGCGCTACAATGAGACCTTGTGGAATATTCCTAGCTATGCTTCCTCTGCAATGGTCATAACACTGTACTAGTTGCAACAACTAGGTCAACCCACTTCTAAAGATAACGTTGCTTCATCGACAATTCCAAGATATATATGTATTTATATGGAAAGGACCTAGTCTTTCTAGAAATTCACTTCTGCCCTGTGGCCCAAGGACACTCGTGGCAATGTGGCGCAGTGATTAAGGGGATGAGACTGTACCATCCAAATGGTCTCCCTCGCGGGGGAGGCAAGGTAGAAACTCGAATCCACTCTGTATGAGAATAACTTTGGGAAGCAAAGCTATGTGAAATTTACCGTAAACGGATGGCCTACTCATATTAAAGATTGAGAATTCAACACCTTAAACGGAATATGGTAAGTACAGTTTTGAGCCCGGTCTTGCGGCTTTAATTAATCTATATTAAGGGTTATTGCGGGCTTAGTTCAGAATAAAAAGATAAATGCATTGAATATAAAGGTGAGTTTTTAGACAAAAGTCTTCCAATAACTTAGAAAAAGAACAAAGATAACCTCTAGCAAGAAAATAAGGTAAATACTTGCTGAACTGGTCCCGAATTTTTCAAGGAAAAAAATAAGGACAGATAAAATGCGAATGCAATTTATTCCGGCATCTAGTGACAGCTAACCGTATATCATAAAAGTAAAGTTAGTAGGCAAAGAGAGGCATTTCAACTGTTAACAAAATATTTTAGCTTATTTGCTGACGATAAGTGACCATAGCAGAAAAATCCGCCATAGGGAATAAGACATTAATATAATAAAAAGACCCGACATAAACTACATACCTAAACGCTGGATTTTGAGAGGTTCTTTAAGGTCCTAAATTCGAAGGTTTAAAATGTTTTATAATTAATGCAACAAAAAAAGGATTAACAGAGCCTTCGAAGCTAACATGCCTACAAATTGACAAAATAAATATACTGAAAAGATGACTTTATAAGGCATCGAAGCTTTTGAATCCAGTATAAACTGATATGGTAATTTTTTAAAGCATTCCTTTCAATAAAAATAAAATAAAAAGATAAGGACGAGTAAAATTTCCTGACCTTAATAACGCGTACCAGACGAGTGGGCAAATGGGGCGTGAGTTTAACAGTCTGAGTGCCCAGATCGGCGAGTGCATTCACTACGTGGCAAGACGATTTCCGACCGCGAGGTAAATCTTCAGTAGGGCTCGAGAAAGTGGTGACAACTCTAAAATCAAGTAAGTTGCGCTTCAAGCGAGATACGCCAAAGTAAGCTATCAGAAAAGTCAGAAAGCATGCCGTCAGTAAACTGAAACGATTCAGAGGATTCGGCCGGCTCAGGTGTTTGGCTCGGCGTGCGGCAGAAGCAAATTCGGATGGACGATCAGGCTTGACTGTTTGGATGCGACAGGGAAAACGCCTAGGAGGTATGTGCGATGTAAAGGGATTAGTATGATAAGGTGTGGCAGAAGATTGATTAGAGTGAGGTGTAGGAAAACCAGAATAGAAACGAGGGCTATTAGAGGGGTCTAGTTTTGGCTTAGATGAATTAACCTGGTGTTTCGAAACCGGAAACAAGAGTGAGGTGATAAGACTGAAT